TCTTATCTAAATAATTTAGTGAAATAGCGAATTTCTAATTATTTAACTTACATTATTGCAGCAGCAGAATGCGAGTCTGAGCATTTTTATTTTTTTAATAGTGGTGGAACTGAGTTCATATATTTTTTCCTTAAGTCTGCTTATGATCTTTTCAAAAAAAACAAAGTGTAGACTGAATGTTATACTGTGTCAGTCAGACTATCGGACTTCGTCTTCGGTGAAGGTGACTCTTCCAAGGTAACACGCTCTGAGTTTCAACAGCTGATAACCGAGAGGGAGGGGTGAGTGTGTCTTATGAAGCACGAGCGCTAATGTACCTTAATGTTGGTTGCTAACCAAGAAGAAAAAGAAGCTGCGAATCGGGAGGGAGGGGGTGAGTGAGTGATTCCTCTATGCTACGATTCAGCACAGGAAGGGAGGGGGTGAGTGAGTCAGTGATTCGTTCAACTCGTTTGAGCTGTGAGCCAGGAGGGAGGGGGTGAGTCCTGAGTGATTCGCTTACTCTACCCAGATAGCAAGGAAACATTGAAACAATGTTGAGTCAATATCAGGTGATGTCATTGAATCAACGTTGAAGTGTGACGTTGACCTAACGTCACTCTTGCACCCTTTTTTAACGTTGAAACAACGTCAGGTTTTGATGTTGAATCAATGTTGAAACCTGACATTGATTCAACGTTATATATTCTAATACTGTTGACATTGAAACAATGTCAGATTCTGATATTGAAACACTGTTGAGCTATGGTGTTGATTTTCCATCTCTTTCGCACAGTTGCTTTTTATTAAAACAACAGTTAAATCATGACTGGAAATCTACCTCTCTTTATAGGTATTTTAACCAATACTAAACTACTGCATGTTTCCATCAATACTTAAACCACCTAATCACATAATTGTACTTATTCCTCAAATTGGACACCCTTTAAAAAAAACAACAAATGTCTCACAATGTATCATGTCAATATTAATATCCTAAAATAAGAAAGTATTGCATGTGATGTAACAGAGAAAAAACTAAACAAAAAAAGGTCAATAGGCATGTTTTGTTTGCTAAATACTTTATTGTGTATTTATATGTGTACAGGGGATTTGGTCTAAAGAAAAAAGTTGAAAACGGTCAAAAATAATTACAAATGTGCTTTTGGAATATTATTTCCTAAAGTTACAGTTTTATTTATAACAACAAACACAGGAAACGGAGATGTGCAAGAAGGTACAGTATACAAGGAATTTTTGAAGTGCACAAGTGTACACGGCTTTGCATTTATAAAAAGTTTACAAGCTTCCACTTTTTGGACTATATTATGTGGTGATATTGCAGTATGGAAGCACCACAGATATGTATAAAAGACAAGATCATAAATTCTTAGCAATCAAAGATATGTTTGTGAAATAAAAAAAGTTTTACTTGTGCTTTCTTTTATGACTGGTCTGAGTTTCAGCTTCGGACTGAAGGTCAGACGTATCACAGTGTTCACTTAGATATTTCTGAAGACTGGGTTCTGCTTCGTGAAATGTGTCTGGAAATACAAACACAATTTATGGCCAGACATAAATTAGGACATGAAAAACTTGTTATTGTTACATTTATACAACACCAATCCAGATGATACCCACCATGGCTTATTAGAAGTCGGACTGGTGCATAGGTGAGCCATGTTGCACCAGGATGAACTCTCCTCTTTACTGTGGCGTGGATCCTGAATGTGTCTCACGGAAGATATGGAGGCCATGACAATTTCTCCCCATTTATCCATGAACTAGGGACTATTTCTGTACCACCAGTGCTGAACTGCACAATGCACCAGTCTTTCATTTTTATCTTTTTCTTAATTTGGAGTCCTTTTTTGCCCTGTCTAGGATAAACAGGAAACAGATAATTACAATATATTTCATAGTCACTACAAAACTTGATCTATTGCTTGAACTAAATAATAAATAATAGCTTAAAATGTATATAGGCAACAATTACAAGCAAACCCGATAAAACAAACTTTTTTTTTTTACACACAACTGCGTGTGTATATGTAAGCATTTAAACACTGAAGATAATAAAATTAACAGTATTTTGTCTAAGTCTGCCATTGTAGGAATTCATGGCACCGAGACAAAAACTTGGCGCAGTGTGGCATCAAAATAGGCGCACACCTTTGACGCTGCGTTTTCTCCGTCTTCCTCGTCCACACGTAAATGCTAAAGCAGAGTTTTCGAAAATATCCGCCCTGGCAGGCGTCTTTAAAAATCTCAGTTTACGTGTGGACAAAAGGTGCAAACGCAAGGTAGGTGAGCGTGTAGCGTAAAGTTTGAATTGAGTGCGAATCGAAGCGGGTGCTCTCCAATCATTAAAAGTAACAAAGTCATTGAACACATTTATACAGTTACCTTTACGTTTATCAATCATATATCACAGATTTACAATTTTTTGTAGTACTATGCTAAAAAGCAACTACAGAGCGAAAGTCTGGGTCAAGCGCCGAGGCGACGGCAAGAACAAAGGAACCCTCGAAGCGTTAAAGCTAGCTTTGTAAGGGAATATAATGGAAAAGTATGAAACGAAAATGTTTTCTTTGTTGATAGACTTTGTTCGCAGTGCAATTTATTTGTTGCCGGATTGTAAGATGAAAGTAGACACAATTTCGGGCTCCCACATTTTATCCGAAACTTTACATTAACAAGTTTTTTTGTTTTTTTTTTTTACTGTTATTCAAATGCAACCATGGAAATAACGAATAGAACAAAAGTAATTCATTCTTACCTTATACTAATCGTGGTGCAGGCCAGTGCAGTCCATGAACTGATGCCTTCTCCGGTCAATTCCGCTGAGAGTAAATCTAATGTCCCGCTCTACTGTACAAGACAATGGTTACCTGGAGGGACATACCAATGTGATAGGGGTGCTGCGGAATAGTCCAAGTGGTAGCAGCTTTAATTTCCCGCTCAACCATAAATTGATGATTTTTCAACGTGATTGTTGTCACCTTGTCAACTATAAATAGATCAACAATCAACGATGACAGAACAACAGTGAATCAATGTTATTTCAATGTCAGTGTCAGGTTTCATCAGTATTTCAATGTTGTTTCAACATTGGTTTTGTGTTGACATTTCAATCCTGACGATTCTGATGGTTCAGATGGAAAATCAACATCTGTTCAATGTCTCCTTGCTATCTGGGTAGGCAAGGCAAGGCAAATTTATTTGTATAGCACAATTCAACAACAAGGTGATTCAAAGTGCTTTACAGAGACATTAGAAACAAAAACAAATAAAAAGCATGATTTAAAATTGATTAAAACAAGCAAACAAACTAACTAAACACACACATTCATTCACACCTGTTCGCGCGATCTGAACCCTTATCGTAAGGGGAGCTACCAGTCCTTCTGTGGACGAGCTACTTTCTATTTTAAATTCCCTGAATTTAAAATACTCTCTAGACCCAGTCTAGACCCAGCTGGGGAGCTACCCAGAGCTCTAAACCCACTTAACAAACAAACAAACAAAACAGTATATAAAATCAAAACAGATAAAACCAGAACAGTAGATAAAATCTGTAGTTAATGTAAGTTTTGAAATTTAAGCTTAAAAGTGTGCATTTGGTGCTTTATTCAAATGCAGCTGAGAATAGGTGAGTCTTCAACCTGGATTTAAATAAACTGAGTGTTTCAGCTGATCTGAGGCTTTCTGGGAGTTTGTTCCAGATATAAGGAGCAGAAAAGCTGAATGCAGCTTCTCCGTGTCTGGTTCTGACTCTGGGAACTGATAAAAGACCGGATCCAGATGACCTGAGGTATCTGGAAGGTTCATACTGGGTCAGGAGGTCACTGATGTATTTTGGTCCTAAACCATTCAGAGCTTTACCATTCAGTGCTACGATTCAGCACAGCAAGGAATGGGATTAGTGAGTCCTGAGTGATTCGCTTATGCTATGATTCAGCACAGGAATGGAGGGGGTGAGTAACTCAAATGTGCTGTTAGCATGTTAGCTGAGCGATGCTACAGTGAACCAAGGAGCTATTTTCTTGATGTGAGGTTTCTACTCAAGGTTTTTTCTTCCAGTTCAGAGCAGAAATGCTTTTGTTAAGAAACTGGCTGTTGTTTTTTCCCCACACAATTTTAATTATAAGCTAGATATATTTCTACTAATGGAATTAGCTTGCTAACAGCAACAGGGATGAGTCAGTGAGTCAGTTGGGATTGTGAATCATGATTCACGAGTCAGTAAAGTGATTCTCGAGTGTTGAATGATTCGTTCACGAATCGAACATCACTACTGCTCAGGACAATCTCCCAGAGGGAGCTAACGGGACCTACGCTACCTTTAGCTGCACGGGCTAAAGAGGCCTGGATAACTATGGGATTTTTAAGGTTTCGAAGCAGAGTCTACAATTCTGTGATCCTGGCCTCCAGAGCTGCAGATAGGCTACATTTTTTGCAAGTATCATTATTGCTGAAGGAGGCTGAGGAGTAACTAAACATCTGACACAATGAGCAGGAAAGTGCAGGAGGGACAGGTGAAAAGGCCATGCCTCTAATGAGTTGGCTATGGCCAAGCTAAGCTAGTGAACCCCTGAAGACAAAGTGAGTGAATACTGTGAGTGAATACACAGAGTGTGTGAAGATTACACCTTGACGTAAGTTATAAGTTTTTAATTAAATTGGCTACGCAGATAAGCTACATAAAAGCATCACTGTGTGTTGGAACAAGAAGTGATAGTTTACCGCAGAGAGCGAACACCAGCGACCCACTGGTGTTTGACAGCATCTCACTGGCAGTAATTATTTGTAGAGTAATTTTATTAATTCTTAACTAATATAATTTGAGTTGTTTTGATTGTGGCAGGAAGAACAAAACTCAAATCAGGAAACAGTCATTTCTTTTCAAGTCAGTTTAAAACATTTTTTTCCTTCAGATTGAATGTCCATACGACAAATACAATTTTAATACATGTTTAAGAGGTTAATATTAAACACTGCTTTGCACTTTTTATCTTCAGTGTGAACAGGAGCATGACGAAGCAGCTGATGTGGTTCAGGTAAGGATTATACTGAATTTCAGACATATGAGCCAACTGCCTGAGACAAAGTAAAGCTCCATTGGGACTGGGACTTAATTATGTAAAACAACTCGTCGGATCACTGATATTTAGTAAGAAGAAGGTTATTGTAATTTATTTTTCATCAGTCTGCTGGTTAATAAAAAATAACTGCATTTAAGTTTGTTGATTGTAAAACTTATATGTTAGTGTCCTTTAAAATTTGTTAAAGAGCAATGCCAATGCAAATAGTAATAATTTCCTGTATAACTCATATTCATCCTCAGGTCTTGCCATCCACAAGTGATACAGGTGAGACACATGCATCGTATTTATTGCATCTCATATTATTCTGTGTTTTAAAAGCACAAATATTTTTTGCAATCTACATAACTTTACTAAGAATAACTTTAAGTGCTGAGAGAAAACCATTTTTTGTTCTTATTTTTTTTGTTGTTTTCATCCAATCAGGAAAGAGAAAATCAGACCTTCAAAGTGACCCCAGCAGGTTGCAGTCACCAGCTAAGCGACAGCGTCTGTCTATGCCAGGATTTGAAGGTATTTATGTTTCTTTCTAAACAGTGTCACAGTTTAAGGGTTAAACCTTTGTGCAGCACAATTTGTCCAACATCTTTGATGCTAGAAGTTACTTTTTCTTTGGGCTTTTGTCAAAATTTAACAGTCACATGTTGCATGGTATATTATGGTTGATTGGTAAGTGGTCACATTATGGTCCTGATATTCTCTAATTCACGCAGGTTTGCTTTCTTGTTAAACATGAGAATTTACATTTTCTGGTTATTCTAGTCTATAATTCCTTCTAAATAGTTCTTTACATTTATGCCAACAGAACCAGTCATACTGTCTGATGTGAAAAGCATCATGACATTTGTACATGCCAGACTAAATACCGTATTTTCACGACTATAAGACGCACCTTACTAAAAGGCGCAGTCTCAGTTATGTGTGCCATTACTGTATTTAACACACACATAAGGCGCACCTGATTATAGGGCACATACAATTATGCGTGTTTAAAAATAAAGCGGGAGCAAAACTGAGTTTGGAACTCACATTTTTATTACCGGTAATTGTCATCAATCAAACCCATGGAAGTCCTCATCCTCTGTGTCTGAATTGAACAGCTGCGCTAAATCTCCATCAAACATGCCAGGTTTCTTTTTTCACTGTCAGAGTCACTTTCCGTGCCGTGCGGCTCCTCGGAAATGATGCCGGCTTTTGCGAAAGCTCGAACAACAGTGCCAGCAGACATGTTAGCCCAAGCATCTACAATCCATTCGCAAATTGTGGCGTAACTCGCCCGGCGCTGCCTTCCACTCTTGGTGAAACTGTGGTCTCCATCGGTCATCCATCGCTCCCAGGCCGCTCGCAGCCTTACTTTGAACGGCTGGTTCACACCGATGTCCAGCGGTTGGAGTTCCTTTGTCAGGCCTCCCGGAATGACAGCAAGCTCACAGTTCATTTGCTTCACTTGTTTTTTCACATCGGCTGTGAGATGGGCACGCATAGAGTCACAGATCAACAGCGATGGTGATGCGTGGAAAAAACCACCTGGTCTCCTTACATACACCTCCTTCAGCCAGTCTTTCATCATTTCCTCATCCATCCAGCCCTTTTCATTTGCCTTAATGATGATTCCTGCTGGAAACTTCTCTTTAGGCAAAGTCTTTCGCTTAAAAATCACCATAGGTGGCAGTTTCTGTACATTAGCATGGCAGCCAAGCACAACAGTAAAAGAAGACTTTTCGTGCCCCGTTGTGCGTATCGCTACCGTGCTGGTCCCCTTCTTCCCCTTCTTCTCCACAATGTGTCTCACCGGGATGTCGAAAGTGAGCGGCACCTCGTCCATGTTAGTGATGTGGCTGGGCTGGATGTGTTTGTCGACGATGTGTTTGCTGCAATAGGAGCGGAAGATGGCCAGCTTTTCATTATAATCCGCTGGAAGTTGCTGCGCTACCGTAGTCCTGGTCCGGATGGAAAAATGGCACCGTTTCATGAAACGAAAGCACCAAGACGGACCTCATTGGAAATGTTCAATTTTCATTTCTTCTGCTAGCGAAACTGCTTTTAGTCGAATGGTGACCGTCGAAACGCTTCTCCCGCTCGTTCTTTGCTCGATGATCCAACGCTCGAGTCTTTCCTCCAACTCGGGCCACTTCGCCTTATGTCCGCGGAAACTCTGCTGCGTCTTCTTGACCTGTCGGAGCTTGTTTTCCAGCTTCCTCCACTTGCGAACCATCGATTCATTAATCTTAAATTCTCTCGCGGCTGCTCGATTTCCATGTTCCTCCGCGTAGCTGATGGCCTTCAGTTTAAACTGTGCTTCATAAGCGTGTCTCTTTGCCATTTTCAGGGTTGTTAAAACAACGATGTTCCACATAATGCACATACCTGTCCTTTTATACAGGTATGTGCAATTGTCCCGGTGTATATACGATCAACGCCCACACTTCACCCTCTAGCGTTCTCATGGTGTTCTCTACTACGTCCTCCTTACAACACACAGGGCGCACTGCACTATAGGGCGCGCCACACTTTTTAAAGAAAATCTAAGGCTTTTTTATGTGCGCCTTATAGTTGCGAAAATACGGTATTTGTTTTAAATAGTTTTTTCCTTTCTTTGTCCACAGAATCAATCATACTGTCTGATGTGAAAAGCATCATGACATTTGTACATGAAAGACTAAATGACCAAGACAAACTCAGTGATTTCTTAAAGTGAGTATTAAGTTTTTTCATATTTTGTAATGTATGGGCCTGGTTCCACTCCTGATCATGTGACAGTTTCACAAACAGATCAAAGAGAGATTGTGTTTGAAGAAACCAAAAATGCAGAAAATATCTGTAAAACATCCTCAAAAACTCCTAGTTATGTGTAATTGAGTCACACAGAGAAGATGGTCCCTTTTCAAGAGTCTTGACACACGCAAAAATAAGCAGTATATTCACATGATCAGAACAATTAAAATGATTCAGTCCAAACAAACGTTATGGAAGTCACACTGGTTACACCAAGATACAGTCACAGGAATGAGTAACTACATTGATGAGGATTTAAAATTTATTAACCTAAATGCACTAACTGCACGTCTTTGGACTGTTGGAGAAAGCCAAAGTACCTGGAGAGAACAGAGGCAAACACAGAGAGAACACGTAAACTCAAAACAAAAAGGCCCCCAACCAAATGGTGGTGTGAGACAACAGTGCCATCATGAACATGAACCCTTTTGGTTCAATAGTCACCAATTAGTTTCTTGTGTCAGTCTGTTTGACGTGTTGGTTCTTTGTTTAGTTATTTTTACATCATACTTTTGACTTACAGCCGCACAATTATAGATGACGGAATGATTCGGTAGTAAACTAAAACTTTCCAAGTTAAGACCAACAAAGACTGATATTTTTAGGAAGTTTTGGTGACTTAGCTACATTTTTTTTCCTGTTCCCGGTATCTACCAACTCTTGAAGGAAACATTTTCACTTTAGCTGACACAAAAAAGGTGTAGATCAAAACAACATACAGTAAACAATTAGTGGAGCGAGTCTATAAAACTGAAATACCTAGTAGTGATTACTATTAAAAATAACAAAACTCTCTTTTAAACCTTTTGAAGCATGCTTAAAAATGTTTTCATGACTGAATCAATTAACCCATCTTTAAAATCTTGTTCAACAGGAAAAAGATCAGTGATTTGGAGACAGACAAGAGGGAGCTGGTTGGTGTCTTTGGTAAAACTGGGGCTGGAAAGAGCTCTTTGATAAATGCCATCATCAAAGAGAAGAATCTTTTACCCTCAGGAAGTGTCAATGCCTGCACCTCAGTCATGATCAAAGTGGAAGCTAACACACGTAGCTCAAAGTATGAAGCAGAAATTGAGTTCATCACAAAGGAGGTAAAATGAATTCTCAAAGTTTGATTTGTACTTAAAACTAAATCATTTGTTATAGTGCAGTTCTTGGAGCTTAAGGCTGGGTACATGCCTCCAATAAATGGCTTGTCATCTATTTTGTAGGAGTGGAAAGATGAGTTGTGGTCATTTTGTCAGTTTCTTGACAATAATGAAGATCAGGACAAGAAAGACGATGATGATTATCGTGATGCTGTTGAAAAGCTGTCAGCACTTTATGGAGAAGAATGGAAAGAGAAGTCCTCTGAAAACCTCATGGAGAACAAATATTTCAAAGAAATTCCAGAATTTCTCCAATCCAGGCGAAAGATTTTGAGATGTGAATCAGTAAGACAAACTCATATTACTACTATAAAAGACAGGGGGACACACTGGGGATGCTGGGAAGGGGACACAGGTGAAACTAGGACAACTTGGACACAAAAGGGAACTGACCAAATTGACAAAAGATTACAAATTGGAAACACATCTCACTTCTGAAAACAGAATGCAGCATAGATCCAAAAGTCCAAAAAACACAAAACACCAAAAACAGATCCAGTGGTCTGTCTGTCTGTCTAAGAACCTTTACCTCTTCACACAACAGTGATCAGTTCCCTGTTCTAACCTAACTACCTGTTACGGCCTTAGCAGGGCCTCCTCCTGAAGGTGCCTGTGTGGGTGTGTCCCACCACCTCTTCTGCCTGAGGTGCCACCTTTCCCTGTTACACAGCTGACTCACATCAGTAATTAAAAGTATTTAAGCCCAGGGAAAGGTGAGCTCTGGGCCAGAGTGCCAGTAGTGTGGTTACAGCTAGTGAGCTGAGTGTTTGTGGTGTTTGCAGCTAGTGAGCTGTGTTTTGGTGGTTTTCAGCTAGTGAGCTGCTCTCTTTTTGGCTTACGTTTTACTTTATTGACCAACGCCTGAGTTTTGTTTGTTTTTCTTAAATGGTGATAGCGGCTTGTCCGTCTCTTTTAGTTGAGCTACTTTAATAAAACTCTTTAACTTAACCCTTTTGCCTCCTTGACTCCTTTTTCTGACCTGGACACTTTTTGTTGCTTCCCCCTCACCGCCTGGACCCTTTTAGGGGAACGTAACACTACCCTTTTTAAATCACTCTTTAGAAATTAACTGCTGAGCAAAGTGGTTGAAAACTATGCAAAATTCCCACATGAAGTAGTTTCTGCTGTTGAGAACAAGAGTGTAGTAAGTGTTATTTAAATAGAGAATAAAAACTTAAATAATTCAAAAATCTATTTTCATTTTGGTTTTGAATGATAATTAGAGACTTTCTCAAAACTATCAAATGGTTGATTGTTTTAAAAAGGGTTTCACATGACCTGAATTTCTCCTCAGTCTTGATCCAATATAACGCAAGGGGAAGCTTGTACATGACACAATCTGATCATTTAAATCGAAAATTGACGAAGGTTCCCTTGCACATCTATTTTGGCATTTCCCTGTCTTTAAAGCTTTTTGGAGCCAGATTTTTACGTGGTTTTCAAACCAATTTAGGAAAAAAGTACCACTTGATGGTACACTGGCTATAATTGGATCATTTGCATCAATCAAATCTTTTTTCCTTTTCACAAAAACAGATAATTACAATGCTGACTGCAAAGAAACGTATTCTTTTACAGTGGCGGTCTTCTTCGACCCCGTGTTTTAAAAGGTGGCTTAATGAGATGGTGTCTGTGGCCAGGGTGGAACAGATAATATTTGATAGAAAGGGGAAACTGGCGAGTTTTTGTACGATTTGGTAGCCATTTCTAGAATTCTTAATTAACTGATCATAATTCATGCCTCACGCTCTGCGCGAATTTTCTTATTTTATTTTACTCTTTATTTAGTTAATGTTGTTATAATTTTTTCTTCCCCTTTTTTTCTCCTTTTTCTTTTTTCCTTATAAGTTCACAAATGCTAAATGTAGTAATTGTCCTCAGTTGAATCTGTATAAGCATGCTGTGTTTAATATAAAAGCAAAAAATAAAATAATTTTAAAAAAAAATCTTTTTTTAGTGATCCAATTTCTTTAAGTTGTTTTTATGTCATGGACTTTTTAATGGTTTTTGTAAAGCACTTAAACTGTAGGATTAAAATTAAACTGCACTGCTTTTATTATTTATTGCAGGCTAATGAACTTTCTGCACAATTTGTCAAGTACACACGAAGTGATTCAAAACAAGGAGAAGGCAATGAAGGAAAAAAGTGGTTTTGGCCACTAGTGAAGTGTGTGACTGTCAGGGTGCCAAACAAGTCTCTTCTCCAGCATGTCACACTTGTGGACCTTCCTGGAAATGGCGACTGTAACAAGAGCAGAGATCAGATGTGGAAAGGGGTAATTCACATTTACTGCTCTTTGCTTATACTGTGTTGTCTGTAAACAGTCATCTTTCTATGAAGCACTGAGACATGTTATTCTCCTTTCAGATAGTTGGAGATTGTTCTACTGTGTGGATTGTGACTGACATTAATCGAGCAACATCAGAGAAAGAGGCCTGGGAGATCCTGGAAAGTGTCAGTAGTCTGATTGGAAATGGTGGCGAATGTCAGCAAATTCACTTTATTTGCACCAAGTCGGATCTTCTTGATGATTCTGATGATCTGTAAGTACATTTTCCATGCAAACTCCCATATTTGCGAGTTTGTTTTTTAAACAGTCAAAATAAATACATTAAGCAAATAAAGCCATATAATCATAAATGACTGGACCCACAAAGCAGACAACTGAAGCTCAATAGGTTTATTTCCAATGAAACAAATGTATACAATGAACTGGTGAATTAGTGGAGAGCACCACCCTAAGGTGGTGGTTTGGGAGAGAGTACTCAATGACTGGCTGGAAGGAAAGACTGTAGTGAATAGGTAAGTATTTTGGTGTGAGGCTCTGACAACCCAAGTTAGCAAGTATGAGAGGATATTAACCAGACCAGACATTTAAAAATAGAAGGCAACAAACTGGAGTACCAGCACCATCAGGCAGAGAAACATTGCCACAGCCAGTCTTTAAAGACAATCTATGTGTTAACAAAGAGTTACAGGTGTGCAAAAGTCAGGCAAAGCTCAGTTTGGTTCCCACATTTTCACCTAAAGGCCAAGAATAAATCAAAACCGCCCAGCCTGCCCCAAATTAATGATGGTGATGATAATAGTGATGACGGTAACAGTACAGATATGCTCATTTCTTGTAGTTCACGAGCTCATATCCATGATCGAATAGTAATGAGAAACCTGCAAGCCAAGGATGGAGTAAGGAAAGAATTCAACAAGCGAAGCAAGATTAATGTGAGTTTTATAGGCTGACAGAAAATAATACAGACTCTCCACAGTTGCAAAGATGCTTTAAAATTAAATCATTTTTCCGCAGAAACACTTCACTGACGGCAGTTTCAAAGTGTTCACAGTGAGCTCCAAAGAGTTCCTAAAAGGGAAACATCTAAGTCCAGAAGAAACTGGTAGGTGAAGTCTTGATGCACATGTTGTTTTAGTTTGCTCTGACTGAAAGAAGAATTATTTAATTTGAATTATAGTACGTAATGTCAAACTGTGGCACTGAAATTTCTTCTTAACAGAAATACCCAAACTTCAGGGATTTTTGCAAGAGCTCAATGACTGTCACTCTGAGATAGTAAACTATGTGAGTGGAGCTTATGGGATTCTTGCTTTGATTCAAGGAGCCAACTCCAGAGGAGTGGTAAGGTCAAGTAAAACTAACTCTTACATGTTGGGATTTCTCAAATGTCTTTGTGTTTCTTATTATGTTTTTTTATGTATTAATTTATAGGTTATTAAGTGATCAATTGATTCTTGTATTTTTGCCGTTCTGTTTTACTTATAGTAGAGTGACTTAAAGCCAAGTGGAGTTTATAGATCTATAAGAAATAATAAGTATTTTTTTTTTTATAGTTTTATTCCTTCAAATATTTTTCAGGATGATAAAAAAGGTGAGGTGTGTTCAGAACTTGAGAGACACATGATCCTTCAACTAGCAAATATCAACAAAGAAATGGAAGAGACCATTACAGCCTTTGAAAAATGTCTTAATGATGGCGTTGAGAAATCCAAACGTTCATACGGAGAAAAACTCAAGAACTTCTTGAATCGTGTATGTATTTTAAATCTAGTTACAAAAAAATTACATATTTAACAGTAATATGTATTTAAATAATTCTGTTTTCTTTTTTGCTTTAGGGAAAGAAGGGTGGTTTTCACATGGTACTGAAGTGTGTTGTTAAGAATGGTGGCATCCACAAACCAAAGAATGGGACCCTAATTAACCTTAACATGAAGTTGGCTTCATGTCTGACCGACAGCATTGATGAAAAATTCAGAAAGACCTTCCCGTAAGAAAAGACAAGTTCTAAACAGTCACATAATATTATTCAAGATATGTAATTTATAACATATCACAATTTTCAAATATAAACTTGCCAACTCTGCCATTAATAACCACAATGTTTACATTTTTTAGAAATGACTCAGAATGTGGAGCATTCAATGGAGTCATCAAGACATTTTCACTTAACACTGATTCTCTGATTGAAAAGTACAAAAATACTGAACTGCAGCTCAGATTTCTCAAGACAGAGGTAAGAGATGAAACTTTCCTATACATCAATTCAAACAGTAAAGTACAGTAAAAGGAAAAAATGAAAAATTAGTTTTATAGCTTGATGTAATTTAAAACGACGTTCATCTGTATTTCATGTTTTGTGTCTAAGGAAGAAAAAATTAAGGCAAAACTGAACAGAATGATCCGGGAACAGAAGAAAAAAGTCTACAGCAGTCTGACAGAGACAATTGAGAACATTATGGAAGAAGGCTACAAGAGTAAGAGATAATATTATTCACAACTTGGCACTAAAACACATATTTATATTTATCATTATTGAGCAAGAGAAATCTGATTGGAGTTTTCTGTCTTATTGTAGAGGCTGCAGAATTTAGAGGAGAAGGCATGCTGTACAACATGAGGGAGACTATTAAGAACCATGTGCACTCAAAAAAGGACATGTTTGAGCAGGCAAAAAATACCATGTTGGAGAAGTTACGCAGTTTAAGGGTTTGTCCTGTTTTATGAAGAAGTATTATGACCGTATTTTGTTATAGCTCACCTGAAGGCTTTTTCTGTGTTTAACTGGAATAGACTTATACAAAAATTTATGTTTCCATTTATGTTTTAAATGAAGTCTGAGAAATTTCTAAATGTAATTTAATATGACTTTAATACAATATTTGATCTGTGATAAGTGAATACATTTTTTTTTTAAATTAGAGAGACATCCTTGAGATTCTGGAGACTACTATGAAGGAATCCTTTGAATGTTCATTCAAGACTGATGGGAGCTTACTCCCAGGTAAACAGGACAGTTTGCTGTAATTACATTGGTTCCAAGTGCTTGATAATGCTTCCGTCCTTTTCTCTTTATCTTTGCAATCTTGCACCTGATAACTTAGTCTATGTAACTATTTATCTGTTTTTCAAATTAACTTATAAATTACTGATTCATAAAAATTCAAATTTGTTTTTCAGATGTTTCAACAGAGCTTGATATGGTGAAGAAACGTTATGATGAACTTCCAGGCACTCCAGATGATGAAGTGTCCCTTACTGGGTAACTCCTAATATGTTATCAATGGTATTACATTAAATATTAAAAATTTTACAAAAAATAAAGAATTTTTGCTCTTAACAATGTTAACAATTATTTTAAGCCAAAGTATGATGATCAGCTCAGAGGCTGCAATGAGTCCATTTTAGGGGAATCTGCAATTCAACATTTAAACTAATTATAGCCATTGGTATTCTTTAGTGTGAGGAGTTTTACAAGCAATATTACGATTTTTAAAATGTAGAAATTATATTATGTTCATTGGTTATTGTTTATTGTCAAACCTTTGCTCTCTTTTTTTAATGTTTCAGATTTGCTGACCAGGTAGTAACTGCAGAAGCCTGGACACAAACAGGTCTTCCCAGAGGAAGTGCTGTTTAAAACAAAGAAAACATCCGATTTGGTCTCAATCCTTTTCAGTTGTTTTTATTTGGTCTTTGGTGACATTTGACTTTGATTTTGTGAATGTCATAAGTGATTCTGGATTTTTATTTCTGTAAGACATTTGTCTCTTTTAATGTTTTAAATCTTGAGGCTAGCAGAGAAGTTGGAGGAAAAACTGAAAGAGATTCACATCACTCTACATATATGTTTTGATCTACTTTAATGCTTTTATTTCATGAGTTTAGTTATGGTTCATTCAGATGACAATGACAATTATATAGCACATTTCAGTACATGTAAAATCAGTCTACTTATCACAGAAGGTAAAAACATGGCAACACTTTATAATACAGCCCACAACTAACGCGTAATTCCCCTGTAATTAAAAGGAACATCAATGTATTTTATCTAAAATTACAATTAAAACTGTAATTGTATTTACCTACAAATATTTAAAGGTAACAAGTCATCCAGACCATTGATTTAAGATTTTTATTATGAGATAATAGTTTTTCATCTCAACCTTTCACACACAAATATGTGTTTTTGACAGGTTTTCATACATTAGAGCCACAGCAGAGGGTGTTTTTCTTAAAAACAATATCTGAATTAGGATAAGATGGATTTGTGTATGAAAAACACAACTAGTCATAAATTTATTTGTAAAACTTAAAGTTTCTGGGGTTTTTTTCCAAGTACACATTCACACTTCTTGTCATGCTCTTTTAATTGTTGCTTTCTTGTTCCCTACAATCTTTCTGACCTGTCATCTATGTTTATTCTTCACAAAGAATATTATTATATGAACATAGTTTTGGTAGTAGTATCAGTGGACTCTGTTGTGATATTTTGACAACATAGTGTGCTGTTGACAGAATTTGAGTTTGTCTAAGGTGCACCTCTGTCACACCTAACAGCCATTGTTGTTGTTGCAGGTCTTTCCAAGTATCCTGTGCCATTTGAGTCCCCACAAAAGAACTGAGTGTGCTTTGTATGAAAATATATTATCACATTATTTCTAAAAGCGTGTCTTACAATCTTAATCCCCAATTTACCTTAGAAATCAATTATACTTTTGTTTGGGTTTTTAAGCACAAATATCCTGAAATGCCATGTCCAGTCATTTTTGTTCAAGCTCAGTTTTTAATATAAGTAATAAAAATGAAAAACAGTTGTACACCCTTACTCATAATATTATAACCAGATGTTATTTTAATTCTGTGAATACATTTTCAATGCTTAAAGTCTTTGATATGAGTCCCTGAATTGGCTGTAACCCCCATTACTCTTACTCTTAGGGGCATTGTTTTTTTGTTGTTGTTATTTTTGTTTGTTTTCTTTTCTTTTTTAAAGGAAAATCATCTTTTTTTAAAGAACCAGAATAAATATCAGTCTTTCATCAACATTTTCTTCCATTTTTCTGAATGATTCACAGATGTGTTGAAGCATAGCATGTTCACCCTCTTATGCTTATTTACAGTATAAACTGATACTGCCTCACATAAGTAATAAAGGCTAATTTAAGTATAAAATATGAAATATTTCTCAATGCATTTTGTATTATAGTATTTTTTTTTTCATATTTTGGTATCTCAACCTCAAAAACGTAAGGCAGCAAGACTGTCGATGTAAAAGGAGACTGTGAAGACTATTAAAAATTGTGTATAAATGATAACAATAGTAAATTTACAGTGAAGTATATGGGCATGATTTTATTATTTTTTTTATCATTCTTGATGAGCTCTCAGCCATAAAAGGCTGATGGGGTATTGTAGTCACTCTGCCTGGTGGGTGGAGCCTATCCCAACAGTCCAGAGGCGGGGTGGACAGATCTATCGCAGGGCCAACACAGAGAGACAGACCGTTATACAGAGAGTGCAGAATTATTAGGCAAGTTGTGTTTTTGAGGAATAATTTTATTATTGAACAACAACCATGTTCTCAATGAACCCAAAAAACTCATTAATATCAAAGCTGAATGTTTTTGGAAGTAGTTTTTAGTTTTAGCTATTTTAGGGGGATATCTGTGTGTGCAGGTGACTATTACTGTGCATAATTATTAGGCAACTTAACAAAATACAAATATATACCCATTTCAATTATTTGTGGTGGCTGTAGCTCAGGTGGCAGAGCAGGTCAGCCACTAATCAGAAGGTCGGTGGTTCGATCCCAGGCTGCACGCCAAATATCCTTGGGCAAGATACTAACCCCATGTTTGCCTACTGGTGGTGGTCAGAGGGCCCGGTGGCACCTGTGTCCGGCAGCCTCGCCTCTGTCAGTGCGCCCCAGGGCAGCTGTGGCTACAATGTAGCTTGCTATCGCGTGTGTGTGAATGACTGAATGTAGTGTAAAGCACTTTGGGGTCCTATGGACTAGAAAAGCGCTATACAAATGCAGGCCATTTACCATTTATTTATTTTTACCAGTGAAACCAATATAACATCTCCACATTCACAGATATACATTTCTGACATTCAGAAACAAAACAAAAACAAATCAGTGACCAATATAGCCACCTTTCTTTGCAAGGACACTCAAAAGCCTGCCATCCATGGATCCTGTCAGTGTTTTAATCTGTTCACCATCAACATTGCGTGCAGCAGCAACCACAGCCTCCCAGACACTGTTCAGAGAGGTGTACTGTTTTCCCTCCTTGTAAATCTCACATTTGATGATGGACCACAGGTTCTCAATGGGGTTCAGATCAGGTGAACAAGTTTTTCTTCTTTTATACCCTTTCTTGCCAGCCACGCTGTGGAGTACTTGGACGCGTGTGATGGAGCATTGTCCTGCATGAAAATCATGTTTTTCTTGAAGGATGCAGACTTCTTCCTGTACCACTGCTTGAAGAAGGTGTCTTCCAGAAACTGGCAGTAGGACTGGGAGTTGAGCTTGACTCCATCCTCAACCCGAAAAGGCCCCACAAGCTCATCTTTGATGATACCAGCCCAAACCAGCACTCCACCTCCACCTTGCTGGCGTCTGAGTCGGACTGGAGCTCTCTGCCCTCTACCAATCCAGCCACAGGCCCATCCATCTGGCCCATCAAGACTCACTCTCATTTCATCAGTCCATAAAACCTTAGAAAAACCAGTCTTGAGATATTTCTTGGCCCAGTCTTGACGTTTCAGCTTGTGTGTCTTGTTCAGTGGTGGTCGTCTTTCAGCCTTTCTTAGCTTGGCCATGTCTCTGAGTATTGCCCACCTTGTGCTTTTGGGCACTCCAGTGATGTTGCAGCTCTGAAATATGGCCAAACTGGTGGCAAGTGGCATCTTGGCAGCTGCACGCTTGACTTTTCTCAGTTCATGGGCAGTTATTTTGTGCCTTGGTTTTTCCACACGCTTCTTGCGACCCTGTTGACTATTTTGAATGAAACGCTTGATTGTTCGATGATCACGCTTCAGAAGCTTTGCAATTTTGAGACTGCTGCATCCCTCTGCAAGATATCTCACTATTTTTGACTTTTCTGAGCCTGTCAAGTCCTTCTTTTGACCCATTTTGCCAAAGGAAAGGATGTTGCCTAATAATTATGCACACCTGATATAGGGTGTTGATGTCATTAGACGACACCCCTTCTCATTACAGAGATGCACATCACCTAATATGCTTAATTGGTAGTAGGCTTTCGAGCCTATACAGCTTGGAGTAAGACAACATGCATGAAGAGGATGATGTGGACAAAATACTCATTTGCCTAATAATTCTGCACTGCCTGTAGATGGCAGATAGTTGGTGTTGTAAGCCACTGCCTCTGTTCACTATTTGAACTCTCCCATAGGGCTTAAATCTAGGAGTCTCTGGGATTCTCCACTATTTAACCTTAGACCTGAAGAAGCTTCTCGGATGAGAGGTGAAACGTCTTCAAGCGAAGTCCAGACGCTTTTTCTTTCCAAGCTCCTTAGTCTTGTGTAGTCTGTTTTCCTCGAAGATTCAGATCTCCTTGTTTGTTTGTTTTTTGGTTTTTTTAATCTGAATTATTTTGCACTTAGTTCAAGTTAATAAGGTCACTTTTTAGTTTACCACTCCATCTTCCAAATGCTGCGTTTGGGTCCAACTCCTGCCTAGTGATGTGCAAATAAAACAATGAACCTCTATTGAACCACTTCATCAGTCCTGTTGAAAATTGGTTCATTCATTCAAAGCTTTGTTCAGTGACATCTAGTAATGAAATAGGAGACAGCACATGAAATCTCAATTTCCATTTGCTGATTGTATCAAAGTATTTATATCATTCATTGTGTGAATGATATAAATACAATTTTGTAACGATGGATTGATTGGTCAGTTGATTCTGTAAACTTATGTAATGTAGCAGGTAGATGAAGGTGTCCTAGGGGAAACAGGATGTGTTGGGGTGGTAGGGCATGTTTCAGTAACTAGGGTGGGGTGTGATCATGTACATGGGACACGTGATTTTCCACACCGAAGCAACCTTTGAAATAGTGGTTCAAGGAAACTTTGAGTTTGAAGCTTGTGTAGGAGCATCAGTGTCATACGGCCAACACTAATTTCACATTTTTTGCCCCTTAAAAAACTTTGGCTCTGTAAAAATCATATTATTCCACTATGACAGAAGAAATCAAATGAAAAATAAAACTTAAACCTTTGTATCAGTGTAAACACATTTCACTAAACTGGAAACTTTAGATATTTAGATGAACTCTACAGAGTGACATGAAGTCGCAAAAGTTGCAAGAGTTCAATTCAGCTAAAAGACAAAAACATTTACCTCCTGTTGTCACATGAAAAGGGTTATTGAGATAAATAGAAACGTAAACCTCTGACACTTCAGAACCACAAAGGAAAGTAAATGATCTTATTTAGTGAATAATACTTTAAATATGAATAAATCAGTTATTGCTGATTGTCCCCACAGCAAATTCCATGGAGACATCTGGATTTGTCCAGGACAAACTAACTGAATGGGGATTCAGTGAGTTCATGCAGAGATTTAAAGGTATGAGTTTTTTATTATTCTTTAATGGAAATTGTTGTATCTGTAATGGCACTAGAACAGCATCGTAATTTACTGATTCAGAAGTCAGTATGGATATTCCTGTGATTTATGACTTATAATAAAAAAAGTCTTTCATATTCAAAGTTGATGAATATTAATGTTTTGCAGTGTTAGCTTCATCTGACTTTTGAATATTTTATTTTGTTGTTGGCATTATTTCAGATGAAGGCATTGACAAGGAGACGTTTCTAAACCTTGGAGATTCAATCCGAATTAATTTACTGTTTCCTAAAATTGGACCAAGAGTAAAGTTTAGAAAGAGACTGAAAGATTACTTACAGGTAAGGCAGCTATTTTTTATTCTATATCAGCAGGTCTATTGTTTCATTAATGTGTGATGTGTTTGTTTTGATTCTGTAGATGGAGATATGTCATTTTGTCCAGGAAAAATTAACTGAATGGCATCTCAGTGAGCTGATTCACAGATTTGAAGGTATTTTATTATAGTTTGGTCCTTCATAAATTACTGCTGTACTGTAATGCCATATTGATATTTGTTTGTCTAATTTCAATTGGAATACTTCGTTTTGTTGCAGAGGAGGGTATTGACAAAGAAGCTTTCCTAAGTCTCGAGTCAGGCAGAATCAATACTTTGATTCCAAAAATTGGACCAAGAGTAAAGTTTAAAAGGAGACTCAGAGAATACTTACAGGTAATGTTTTATTAAATGTTACAAAAAAATCCTGGAACATAAAGCCATAAAAGTTTAAATATACTGAGGAGTTTTTTTATTAAAAAAAGAAAAATGGCGGTGAAGATCAGTAGATTAATAGTGTATGCAATGCATCAGAGTGGAGGTTGTGTGTGAGCGCTGTGACATTCAGAAAAATAACCTCGCAATACTCGAGTACAAGATAATGTATTTAATGTAACATTTACTGTGCATGTAATGCATTTCACACTGGTAGGTATCAATATAACAAAATTGATCACACTTCTTTTATTATACGAAATACATCTTAAATTTATCCCTCACCACTGCAGGACTTGAATAGAACAAATGATGATTCTGCTGACATGATGGAAACAAGCGCAGAGCAAGAGAACAATCCAGAAATGGTATGATCTCATTGTGTCTGAACATGGTTCATTACTGAGTTATTAATCTTTGATCATTTTTGTTATGTCATCATGTTATTATATAAAAATTAATGTTGTCAGCGTTAATCTCCTTAAGTAAAGTAAGTAAAATTTTATTTAAATAGTACCTTTCAAGATAAAATCACAAAGTGCTTCACACAAGCAGAAATGGACATACAACCTCAAACAAACAAAAGCAACCAAAAGCAAGTTTAAACAGATAACTTTTTAAATGAAATGACTGAGTCCACAGATCTCGAACTCAAAGGGAGCGAGTTCCAGAGTCTGGGAGCCATTGACACAAACGCTCTTCATTGTTTGTTTTTAACCTTGTATGCTGGAAAACCAGCAAGCGCTGGTCACAAGACCTCAGGGACCTGCTGGGGCGATAAGGCAGAAGGAGATCACTGATGTAAGTTGGAGCTACACCGTGCAGGGCCCTATAGGTCATGATTATAATCTTAAAATGAACCCTGAACTTGACATGATGTCAGACTTAAAATGACATTGACGCCATAGCCGCATTAACGCAGCAAATCTACGTTAGCTGGTTACCGCGGAGCTCCCCATGGGTGGAGCTGGACGCCGCTAAACAATAACAAGCTAACCGCTTACGCCATTAAGTTAAAATGACATTATGGCGTTAACGTCATTTTAAAGAGATTAATGCTGACAGCACTAATAAAAATACATTTTGATTGATTCAAGGACTCATATCTTTAGAGTAAAACAGGTGTCAATATGAGCAAAGTGAACCAGGTTAGCTGTTTACCTAAGTCCTCTGCAGAATTCTCCAACACAGCTCAACTGTTTTTCACAAACTGTGAGTAAACAACATGAAGGCCTGTGCCTTGTCTGGATAATTATTTGGTATTTGTTTTCACGCAGGAGCCAAACATTTTTCCTCAACATTTGGAATCTTCTTCAGCGTCTGACACAACAGATGGCAAAGACACGGTAAGAAAGGAAGTCAGAAAAAATATTTTTAAACTGGTTGAAGATCCAGTGATTTACAATGATTTTATCTGCAGACAAACATTTTGTCTCCATAATGCTGCATTAAGAGGAGCAATAAATAATGAAGCTAACAAATGCAAACTGCTTCAAATTTGTTTAATATACATATCTGAAATGCACCTTCATCAATTGAATATGAAATATTAAGAGTATAGGTAGGCCTGGCTGATGTTTTGGCCTTGTTTTAGATGCAGGACCACAACATTTTTCCATTTCAGTTGGAGTCTGCTTCAGCAGTTGACAGAGGCAGTGACACAGTAAGAAGGAATATTGATGTTTCTCCTCAAGTCATGTTGTTATCCCAATATTATTTGTGTATATAAAACACATGTTTGTTTGTCTTTTCAGAGTAACGAACCAATTCGCTCCTGGGCAACAGTGACACAAGGACAAAGTCCAACCACATTTACAATGTTTTACTGTCAAGAGTGTAAAAACTTCATGGGAAACAATCCTGATTCTTGTTGTTCTCACTGTGCCTCTGTGTTCAACAAAGCAAGCAGCATTCAAAATGGAAACTTCTTTCTGTACTCATCCCTGAAAGACCTTCTGAAAGGTATCCTTGAGAACCACAGCACTGAGTTGTTACCTAAAACAGTTAAAGATGAGCATGATAACATCAAAGATGTGATGGATGGGATGATGTACCAGAATCTCCTCAGAGAGGGTAAACTAGCTGCAGATGATCTCACACTGACATGGAATTTTGATGAAGTACCAATTTTTAGCACCACCAGATACTCAATTTGGCCCCTTCAGTTTGTTATTAATGAACTTCCTTACACACAAAGACAGGAAAATATGATAGTTGCTGGATTTTGGTTTGGCCAAGGAAAACCTCATATGAACACATTTCTGAAACCATTTGTGGATGAATGTTGTGATTTAGCCCAAAATCCATTTCAGTGGAGAGACAGCAGAGGCACTCTTCATTCATCAAAAGTCTTCTGCTTGGTTTGCTCCTCTGACGCTGTGGCGAGGCCACTTCTCCGGAATTGCAAACAATTCAATGGAGAATATGGTTGTGACTGGTGTTTACACCCTGGCACAGTGGTACCAAAAGGCTCTGGCTCTGTGAGGTCATACCGATATGATGAAACTAAACAAGCATCAAGATCAAAAAATATGTTTGTTGAAAACACCTCAGAGTATGGTGTAAAAGGAATGTCCTTACTTTCCAGACTTCCTTTGTTTGACATTGTGTTTGGATTTGTACCAGAATATATGCACTCAGTTTTAGTTGGTGTGACTAAGCAACTTATTGGATTGTGGCTGAACTCAGAGAACTCCAAGAAAGACTGGTATGTAGGTCAACAGATTTCACAGATGGACTCTTATCTCCGAATGTTAAAGCCTCCATCAGAAATGAGCAGATCTCTACAGTCACTGAAGGGTCGGGACACTTGGAAAGCATCTGAGTGGCGAGCTTTCCTTTTATTTTATGCTGTTAGTGTCCTACCAGGCATCCTTCAGCCTTCATTTCTCCAGCATTTTTTTTGTTTGTCGATCAGCATTCACATTCTGCTACAAGAATCAGTCTCCCAAAATGACCTTCAGCTGGCCCATGAGAACTTGGTACTCTTTGTTAGAAACATGGAAGAACTCTATGGTGAAGAAAACGTTTCATTCAACTGCCATCAGTTGATCCACTTAGCTGACTGTGTGCGTAACTGGGGGCCTCTCTGGGCAACATCAGCATTCAGTTTTGAGAGGAACAGTGCAAATTTAAGGGCACTGCTTAGCAACATAAACTACAATCCTCAAAAAATTCAAGACAAGTTTCTCCGTTGGCAGCGCCTGCCGAGTCACCTTCGCTCCCTTGTTTCTAACGGAAATTCTCCGTTAGCCAGCATTTCACCAGTAAATGAAACCACTGATTGTTACAATCTGCTTGGAAATTCACGGCATCTGGATATCACACGATCCATAAAACTAGCAATAGAAGAGCTCTTAAATCGACCTGTTTCATTCAGATCAGTGGAAGGCTTTGACAGCTTCATCAACAGAAATACTGTTTACTCTGTAAACCATGAAGAGACAAGAGACTGTGTCATAAAACTCAAGAATGGCTGCTATGGAGAAATACAAGTCATCGTCAGGTTTAAAGAGAACTGTGTTTGCACATCCAACTGTGTGTGCTCGGCTATTTCAGTCATTGTGGTCCAGCTGTTTTATATCAAACGTGATGCAGAGGACAGCAGGATGATTCCTGACAGTGCATCAAGGACTATCTTTGTGAAAGTGGAAAGGACAACTCAGCTCAAAGCCTTCTTCTTGAGGGATGTTAGGTGTAAATGCATGTATGTGAATGGTTGGCTGGTGCCTTTACCAAACTCATATGAAAGATATTAAAGTTCCAGCACAGCTAAGGTGCTTTCTCTGTCTTGTATATCATGGCACATGGCTGTTTTTACTACAGTGAAAATCTTGGAAAAATGAATGATGATGAAGTTTTTTCAAAGGAGTTTGGAGTAATTTTGTTCATATGTGTGCGAGATCTGTGGCTTACGTTTTCTTTTGGTGTGACAGTGTGGACATAATGTAGTCAGTGTAATGTAGGATTATATCACTCAGTACTGTATGTGTATTATCTGTATATGGAGGAAATTATGGAGTGATTTGTAAACAGCCAAAAGCTTGCCTTTCCCAATTTTGTATTCACTACGTATTTATCATACATGTCAGTTTACCTCTATTCAATATGAAATGCAAATTATTGTGACACATAAACATTTCGTGAATTAACGCTAAAAATCCGGGGTGAGTGGATCAATGTGGTTTACTGCATCCTGATACAGATTGCTATTACTGAGATAACAGATCATAAAGCTTCATATTACCTCAGATTATTGTGTAATAGCTGATGAGACTTATTCTGTTTAATGTTGCAATGTGTGCAAGTCTATTGAATATAATACAGATTGATTTGCTCAAGAATGTTTGTATCCTGCTACATAAAAATGATTATAATTAGTCTTATTACTTTAAATATGCCTGAAAAATCTGTTTGGCCTCCTTCTTCACTCTGGATTTGTGCTGCTATTCAGAGTCAATTCAAATTTTAGTGTCGTTCCTAAAAAAAAAAAGAAAAAAGGATGTGTAAATACAGTAAATGATGTTTAGAGATTTTTGAAAAATAAACATGACCACTGTTCATATGTGGCTTTATTACCTTATCATAGGCCAGAATTAAATATCTAAGTAGGATCCTTGTTTAATACCATGTTAAACATGTTTACCGGGTCATGAACCATCGGTGAAGCAAACAACAGAAAAGAAGCTCGTATATAGACTTATGCCGTAAGTTGACCTAAAACTAAAAGGAAAAAACAATCTGACATTTTAAATGAAATCAAACATCGTTTAAAAGACACACATGGCAGTGTGGGAGAAAAAACTCAACACTGAATGCTACAAGTGCACAAATATGAAATCAGCGTGGTGCTGCAGTGCACGCATCAATTCACACAATATTACAGAAATATTTTTTATATAAATGTCTTATATTGTTTCTTGGTCCCATCAATTTCTTATTCTTCAGTCATTTCTGAAACAAAGTCCACACTGAATGCCTGCTGTGCATCTGTGGTTGTGTGAAGCTACATTAATGTAACAGCATGCCAGAGTGTAAACAGAGATCTTTGTCTATACGTTGAAACAAGGTTGTGCCTGAAAATTGCTACTTTTATGTGACATTTTATGTGAATATGTGACAAATGATGTTAGAATTATAATTAATTATAGAGAAAACTGTTTAAACCTTGGTGGGCAATGAGCTTAGAAAGAAGGATTATCTAGAAAATGACTTCAGGAAATGGTTGTATTATAAAGTTGTTTTACAATCTGGACCAGTACAGACTTGCCCCTGACGGTTAAACTGTCCTGGGGCACAAACCGTTTGTCCTTGGCTTGGCTTCAAGACTCTAGGAAAGGAATGCTGAATGTATGTAAATAGCCTCTGGAGAATATAATCTGGAAATTGCATAAAGGGAAACACAAAATGAACCAAAAAGTAATAACATCCCACAGCTGTGTTTCACACCTGTTGGTAGTGGGGCATTTTGGCTTCTGCTGCATCTTTTTAGTCTGTGCTGGAGATTCACCAACCCTAAAGAAGTCCAAATACACCACTGATCACTGGATCTCAACAGCATTAATGCAAAACATGTGTTTCCATTTCTTGTCTTACTTCTTTTTCCTGTCCAGAGACCTCTGTGTGGCAGCAGAAAGAGCCACTCTCTCTTTGGGGTACTTAGCTTTCTCCTGGAGGAGCGAATATCGTTTATGTCTGTGGGGGTTCTCAGCCATCCAGGTCATCGTAGTCTAAGGACCTTGGAAAGAAAAACGTCTGGACTTGAAGATGTTTCACCTCTCATTCCTGGGTCAAATGGTGGAGAGTCCCAGAGTCAAGCCCTATTGGAGTATCCCCTAAGATGGACATGGACCCCTTATTGATCCTCTACCTAATCACATGAGCCGAGGTGTGAAAACAGGTGTTGGTCACAATCAGCCAAAGTTTCGGGTGAACTCATTGTGAAACCAAGCCCCACCCTATCATGTGATCTCCTGAGGTCAGAAGAACCAGGATGTGCATAGGCACGGCATCTAGAAACTGGATCATAGATGGCAGACAATTGGTGTCGTAAGCCACCGCCTCTGTTCAAAGAGGGTAAACAGAGGGTAAAGCAGAGGGTAAACAGAGGCGGTGGCTTACGACACGGTCTACAACTGTCTGCCATCTATAATCCAGTTTTGGTTCCCTTTACACCCATGGGAGACACTCCCATTGGTCTTAAATCTGGGACTCTGAAGAAGCTTCTCGGATGAGAGGTGAAATGTCTTCAAGCAACTTAAAGAAGTCCAGATGCTTTTCTTTCTAAGCTCCTTAGACTTTATAATTTATGAGAAAATATTCATAATACTGAAAAAAGTCTTAGATTGTCAAAAATGAATATCTTATCTGACGATTGCTTTGGTGAAAAGGTGCTATATATTACAACAATGTATTAATAACAACAAGATGACAGTGCTTTATAGACTGTTTTTGTGGAAGTGGAAAGGGCAAATTAACTCAGTCTTTTTCTAGAAGGGTGTTAGGTGTAAATGTGTCTGTGAATGTCCTGTGACACTATTATCCCCTCTCTCTTTTAATAATGTCAAAGATAATAGTGTCTTTGACACTATTGGACCTAAAGTTTTAACCATTATTAAAACCAGCCCAGCCGATCTTAACCATACCATAGTGAACCCATTTATCAAAAAAACAAAACAAAACAAAACAAAACAAACAAATCTCAATGCAGCAGTGTTCTCAAATTTTAAACCAATCTCTAAACTCTCCTTCCTGTCCAAAACCCTGCAAAAAAATGTCTTCCTTCAGTTCCAGGCTCTACTGGAAATTAACGATATCTCAGAAACATTTCAGTCTGGTTTCAAAGCGAAACATTACGAAAGCGTAGAGCTCCCACCCAGGCAAAAGAAAAATAGAGCTATATCACATGTAATGTGAAAACTTTATTGTTCTCACAATATACTTTTCACATTTGAACAACATAATATAATTTTATTACAATATACATTATATACAATATACATTATAACAAAATTTTTTTTACAAAAAAACAAGTAGAGGTGACACGGGCTGTGAGATTGAAACACAGGCATTAGAGCCTCTTAATGTGTGTTTAGTTTGGGTTTCCACCGGCGTGGAATTACCAAAAACAGAGAGAGCATAGGCTAACATATGAAATGGGAAAAGACCGCTGTGTAATCCATTTATTTCAACAAAGTAACTGTATTCTGAATATCACCTTCTTAAATGGTAACTGTAACGGAATACAGTTACAATTACTTTTTGTATTTTAAATACGTAACGCCGGTACATGTATTCCGTTACTCCCCAACACAATCTGCCCGTGATCAGGTACCCTGCTGGGATAATAAGATGGCCTGGAGATAGAAGCCACTGACATCAAGACCAGGAAACTCCTAACCCTGCATGGAGGGTTTCACCCCAAGTCCAGCACCCTAAAGCTAGATGGATGCTAAGCAGAAAAAAGGAGGCCATGCCCTAGTGAGTGTCAAGCACCACAGTCCAGGATGAGACAACGATCATCCACAAATACATAAGGAAGATAGCCCCAACCAACTGCGTGCTCAGTGAATACCAGAAACCAGAGGAGGAAGAGCAGGAGCCATCATGGAAGGACAGGCCCTCCACAGTATGTACCACTAGCAGATAGAGGAAGTGGCTGACATCCAGAAATCCTGGCTGGACAAAGCTGGACTGAAAGACAGCACAGAGCCACTAATCATAGCAGCACAGGAACAAGCTCTGAGCCCAAGATCCACAGAGGCTGGGGTCTTCCACACCAGGCAAGACCCAGGTACAGGCTGTGTAAAGATGTCCCCGAGACAATCCAGCACATAACAGCAGGGTTCAAGATGCTAGCAGACATAGCATACATGGAACACCATAACCAAGTGGGCGGCATATGTTCAGAAACATTTGTGCCAAATATGACCTGGAAGTCCAGAGGTCAAAATGGGAGATGCCTGGTGTGGCGCTGTAGTGTAAAGAAAAAAAAATCAAAATGACCTTAAACTAAGTCACAATAAATTGTTTTGGGATGTCCAGTAGAATTTTACAGTATGTGATCAGCTGATCTTCGCTGATCTGGGATTCACTCCTGATTGTGGATTTACACACTGGAATTCAACAAGATACAAGCAAATATTACATGAGCTATCAAGGCTGAGTTCCAACCCCTGAATAGTATGAAGCAAATATAAAGGTGGATCATCAGCTTAAATTTAGATTGATGTCTGATACATTGTTACATGGAAATTCACAGCAATGACAGCCAGTTAGACAAACTTCATCACAGAACTGCAAATTAACCAGCTTAGCCTGCACTAAACTGCATTAAACTATCTAGTATTTTCATAAAACCTCAGAATAAGTTATTCAGGAGGATGTTCTTCCTAAATACAATATTTGGATTAGGTTAAGATGGATTTAAAAATGATTAAAAATTAAGTTCTGGTTTTGCAGGTAAATGAAGACATGCGCTCTCCCAGCAGTTCAACACCACAGAGGAGGAGGAAGACCCCGGACTCATTCTCGCACCTTCCTACCTGGTCGGGGCCATCTTCTGGGAGACCAAAAATGCAATATATGCATTTCCAATATTTTCCATGTGTCCCAAGTCAAGCCTGTATGCTCCAGCCCGGTGTGCCCTCTTTCCAAGCCTTTGTTTTGGTTGTGCTCGCCCTCCCCTCTCTTTCATCACTCTGCCTGGGTGGAGCTCATTGCGAGCTTTCCCTTTTGGCCCACGCACCTGCTCCTAAGCACACACTGGTGATTCATCTTGTTCTCTGGCCACTACTTAAGGCAGTGGCTCTGATCTCCTTGTTGCTGGACTATTGAGTTTGATAAGTTAGTGTAAATCCAGCTTGGTGAATTCTAGTGTGCTTGTGTATGTAACTAACTGTGCTTAGACATCTCAAACTGTGGAAAGAGTGTCGTGCGTGTGGATCTCTCAAGCGGAGAGAATGAGTGACAATGATTTGTTTCTCTCCCCCGACCCTACCCCGCAGACCACTGGAACCCCTGGCTTTCCCTCCCACCTGTATATATTCTGCACCTGGTGTTTTTGTGTAAATAAAAGAACAGTTAACTTGTGATTCCAGTCTGTCCTTGTCAAGATTCGGCTGTGCAGGCAGGAGTTGGACCCAAAATGCAGACTCCTGGACACGAGGATGAACTCAAAAACTACAGCTTTATTGCAGGCAAAGGAAATGGCATACAACACAAAACTAAACTAAACTGGAAAAGAATAAACTAAACTCACACACACACACACACACACACACACACACACACACACACACACAACCCTGACACAGAGAAACACAGGGCTTAAATACAATGGGCAATAACGAGGGGACTGAGAC